ATGTTCATGGGACAAGTATTGAAAGATTGGTTTTTGTTTCACCCCTTCACTTCTAATTTATTGGTTTGATTTTTGTAAGAGGCGGTGGTGGTTTGGATTAATGTTTGATTGCAGATGATCTGAATTTTTTTTTTCTAGGCTTTTTGGTGTTCTGGGTTTATTAGATTTTCAATATGTGTTGACAGTGATTGGTGGATGGTGGTGGGAGAGGTAGGTGTCCGATGGTGGTGTTGGTGGTGACCCGAAATCTTTCATGTAGATGTAGATTGATTCCACTACAAATCTTTCACATCATTCCCATAGAATCATTTATGATTTAAAATTTTGCTGCAGATTGATTCTGAATAGTTGTAATTACCAAGTTGCAATGTTTGTGCTACCATTAGTGTTTTCTTCGTCGTTATTATCTTCTAGTAGTTGTTAGCTTCAAGTGGTTGTAAATAGTGGCTTCAGTGGTTATAGATGGTGGTGGTGAAATCATTTAAAGAAATGGATATTAAACTTGCTGACTAGACTTCTTACCGGTAACAAGTTAAGAAATTCAAAAATAAGGACATTTTAAAACATAAAAATCAAGTATACACCCTTGTAATGCAAAAAAATAAGATAAAGGACCTTTTAAAACAGAATGTGTTATTTTGTTGGGTCACAGTGATATTTTCTCTTATATTTTTAGTGGGTGTTTTATATATTTCAGATGATTTCCAAATCACAAGTAGTCTCGTCCAGCACATTTGGATGAATACAAATGTAGAGGTTGTTTTTCGAAATTTTGGCCTATGTTACTAATTGAGTTTTTTTTTTTTTTTTTTTTTTTTTTTTTTTTTTGGTTATTATTAGTTGTTGCGGATTATAAGCTTGTGTCGTGATTTGGGTGTTTTTTTGGGTGTATATTGTTATATATAAACCCTATTATCATGTCTTCTTATCTTATGTCATATGTATACTTGCTTAGTTGCATATTTTTGTTATTTGATATGTTGTCATTTTACAGTTAAATGTGATACATTTTGTGGTGGCCTTTGTAGTATTTCAATCAAATGTTGATGGTTTTACTTGAGGTTTTGAATGAATCTAATTCGTCTATTCGAGAACTTGCTCTTTCATTGATTGTTGAAATGCTAAAAAATTAGGTATGTTATTTCCAAGTTTTTTAATTTATTCTCATTGTTTAATTTTCTTAATCATATATCTTACATCGAATGACATATTATATGTCATGCTCTTTTCAACAAAATGAAGCGATGAAGGATTCTATTGAGGTTATAGTTGAAAAACTACTACACCTTATCAACGAATTAAACCCAAATGTGAGTTTTATTATTATTATTATTAATGAGGTTGATTTAGTTATATTTTACGTATAATGATGACTTGTAAATGTAGGTGGCAATTGAAGCAGATCATTTCTTGAGTATTGTTATGTCTGAATATGATTTTTTTTTTAGATGTTTAATGTATGTTATTCCATTTTGTTGATTTACTTTGTCTATCTCAATTTTTTATGATTAAAACAACTTACACAAACACAAACACACACAGGTACATTAACACACAAACATACACACAACAACACAAACATGTACAATTAAACGACTTCTCAATTTTGTTTATTTTTTCAACAGAGCATTGAACTTATAATGTTTTCTTTTCAAAACATCAAATCCAAAAAATCCATTCAAAAGCAACAAAGTTAATAATCTAAATATTGCACCTGTTTAGAAAATTAGTAAAAAGTTGTTTGATGCAAAGTAAAAGTTTGGAAGATGAGTTAATTGTTTGATTCAAAGTAAAAATTTAGAAGATGGGTTTGTGTCATTAAATAGGAATCTATTTCTCATAAACATTGTTCCCCATTGTAAGACACCTATTGTTTTATCTAATTTACAAGAATATAGGAATACATAGATGATAGAAACAGATGGGAGGAAGAAACAAGAAGAATATACAAAAGAAATTGAAAGAAAAAAAAAAAAACATACCTAGTATGTTGAAGCCAATGGAATAGAAAGAGAAAGAAGAAAAAGCGAAGATGAATGACGAACTGTGAAGGGTGAGACTTTCATATAGTAGGTATATTAGAGTTAATTATAAGCAAATTTTCCCAAATCTAGATAATATTAAGAGATACTATCGTTACCAAGTTAAACAAGGATTTGATTGTTGGAATGTTTAATTGGTGAATGTAAGTTTCCATATCAAATACCGGATTATTAGTTGTGCACCTTCTTTTATTTGAAATACCTTATTTAAGAGGTTGTTATTTTTTGAAATTACCTTACCTTATTTATTGGGTTCCTATTTTTTGAAATCACCTTAGCTTGAGATCGTTTTTTCCTTAACTAACAACTCTTATTTACAATTACAGGCTGCATATAAGGTGCAAAGATATTAACACGTTGCAAAATAGCTAAGGAAGCAACACGTGGCAAATTGTTGTTTTCCTGCTTTATGTACAATAGAAATGTGAAGCATCCATTTTAATACCATTACAAATTGAAAAACATCCAATCTATGAGAGACAATATAACTTTTCATGTCTTAACATGTTATTGGTTATGTAGGTACCCCAAAACTTTTAAGTGTTGATAGATCTTATGATGAGTTACTCTACAATTGGAATCAATGTTGAAATGCTTTCTTTTAACCATTTAATAATTTTTAATGATGATTGATTTGTTGTGCATTTAAGGGTTAAAAATTAAGAGCTTCAATGGAGTTTTGAAGATTACTCCCTATCAAAAGCAAGAGCGAGCCAAAGATAAAATGATTTTCTATTTTTTTTGGGATTTTGTATTTTGTATGAATGTTGCTTGCAAATGTCTCTTAATGGTCTTCGTAGTGGTAGTTTACTCAGTTTTGTTCTCTTACCGGGTTGAGCTTTTTGTAGAATTACACAACTTTTATTTGAAATGTAAATACAAAATTGGTTATAAGATTTATCCTTTTTAGCCACTCATTTGTGGTATTCTTTTTATGCATATTTTTTTTTATCTATGGCTTCCTTTGATTGAAGTTATTTTCTCTTATGTTATGTCGGGGTATTCAAAAGGGGAGGTGATTTTGCCACTTAAGTATTTTATCCATCCACATAAAAATTAAGTGTATTGACCATAATGCCCTTAATTTTAATTTAGAGAGAAAAAAAAATCGTGTGGATTTGTTTCCAAAAGATACACTCCTTCCTTCTGTTGGGGAATTTCGAAATTGGGTTATAGGAAATCTTGATCACAAACAGGAATCGTGTGATACACTTTCCTTGTTTGATATTTTGATCCTAATTGCCTTGGGTATCACGAAATCCAAACTAGGATAATTCCTGAAAAAACGATTCTGATTTTAGGCACAAAACACAAAATAAATTTTGAGAGAGAATGAAGAAGAAAGCATCCTTTCAGTTTTCTGTTAAATCCATTACACTAAAATATATTTGGTGATTAAATCACCAACACCTTCTTCCTTAATTGCTTCTCTGGCTTTTGCCCTCCAAATGAAAAAATTAATCTCCAAATCGATTTCTAACCATTGACGTACTTGATTGTTTATACCCACATCTGCTTTCAATCGATTAAACTAGGGCTTGAATTGATTAATTTGCATCAAAGTTGTGAAATCAAATCTATATTAATCATAGCTCAAATCAACTCTGAGATTACTTTTTTGTGGTGTGTGATTTCTTTCATTTATTTTTTTAGTTTTGCGATTCTATACACTCTTTTTAATTATACCCGGGTTTTTTTTTTTTTTTTTTTTTTTTTTGCCAAATCTAGACCCATATGTGCGTTAAACATAGATCTAAGTTGGATTTTCATGTAACATGTGGAGTTGTAGGTTTTTAGTATGTGGAAGTGTGTGTATCAGTCTTTACTCCCAACCATCTCTGAGTACCACTTCTTCACTTCCACTAAATCATACATTCTAAATGTTTACATTCAACTCTATTAGAATCAACGGAAAACTGGAATACGAAAGTAACAGTATCTCAATTTCTAAAATCAAAAGTGGATTAAAAATTTTCATTCATACCCTTTTATGATCAATAAAAATGAAGCAAGAAATAGTTACAACGTGAACCAAGCAACAATGTTGGAACCAATGAAAGCATGACAACACATAATTTTGGAATATCTACATAAATAACTTTCATAGTAGATTGCTTATGAATAAAGAAATGGATACGTATCACTTGATCATTGGTTCCAGCATATGTTGCCCTAATTGTTCATTTTCCATTGAACCTACTTCTATATATATATATATATATATATATATATATATATATATATATATATATATATATATATATATATATATATATATATATATATATACATATATATATATATATATATATATATATGGCAAATCAATAAAAAAATGTGTAAAGGTTTGGAAACCCTAAAACCTAAACAATTAATAGAAATCTATTGAAAAAAAATACTTTAAGATATCTAATCTTTTTTTATAAGGCTAAAATTTGCAAGTTTTGGGAAACATTCGCTAAAAAGAATTTGAAAAAAAAAAATTACAGAAAAAAAATTATTTTTTTATAATGATTTTATATAAAATGTAGCAATTTTTCTATTGATTTTTCACACAATTATTTTTTAGGGGTTTAGAGGTTTTTTGAGGTTTATGCATTTTTTATTGATTTGTTATATATATATATATATATATATATATATATATATATATATATATATATATATATATATATATATATATATATATATATATATATATATATATATATATATGTATGTATGTATAGGGAAATCTCCATTTTAATACTATTATTTGCCTGCGTTTAAGAAAAAGTCCTAAACTATTAAATGTTAACGGAAAAGCCTAAAATACCGGATAAATCGGCGAATTGACCCAATTTACCCGGTTACCACTCTTGCAACCGGTGACAAACCGATGTGGCATTAAATGAGATTAGGTGGAAGGTGAGTCGACCAAATCACACACCCATTCCTCTAACGGTAGATCACACAGTTATGGTAAGAAATTAGGGCTTTTTACGTGCGAAGAAGACGACAACTGTGGGCACGAGTTCGAGTCTTACAAGCTTTGCTAATGGAAGACATCTAGGATTTAGATACTATTGATGTTGAAGTAGACAAGGATTTGAAGAAGCAAACCAAGAGGTGCAATGATGCATTCTTGAACAGCTTATGTCCCGACATAGCTGGTGAAGAAGGTGATGACTTTACAATCCCTGAAATAAAACATATCGACGACGAGGTTGACTTAAATGAAGATGATGTGGTGGAGAATGAAGATCATTTTGACTCAATGCGAGAAGGAAATGGGTCTGATGAAGTATATGGGTATGATGAAGAAGTATCAAGTGAAAGTGACCATGATTCTAAGCTTGAGTTTGAGTACAACACCCACGATCCAAAGGTTAAATGGAACAAGATGAGACCACTTTTGGGAGAAAGGTTTGAATCACCTCATCAACTGAAGTTATTTTAACTAACCATGCTATTTATACTGGTTATAAGATAAAGTTCAAGAAATGTGATAGTGTTAGGCTAGTTGTTGTATATGCTAGTGATCCATAAAAATTCCAATGTCCATTTAATGTTAGGGCTTCGTGGATGAACACAGAGAGGTCGTTTCAAATTAAGAAACTTGTTGACAAACATAGGTATGTTAGGAATTATAGAAATACCAACCTTATGGGTCTAACATGGTTAGGAAACTAGTTTCTGAAAGAACTGATTAGGAAGCCCAAGTTGAAGTGTAAGGAAATGCAGGTAATTATCCAAAGCAGATTCCACTGCAATGTTTCCTGATCAAAGTGCTATAGAGCAAAGTGTAGAGCCATGTCTTTGATAGAAGGGAGATTGAGTGACCACTATGCTAAACTATGGGATTATGGTGGTGAGCTATTGAGATCAAATCCAGGTAGTACAATTAAAATTATTGTGAGTCAAAATCAAGATAACGTAATTACTTTCAAAGAATATATATTTGTTTTAAGGCAATAAAAGAAGGATGGAAGGTTGGTTGTCATAGGGTTATTCGACTAAATGGGTCTTTTTTAAAAGGTCAGTGTAAGGACGCAATCAAAGTCACTCACTTGGAGGTCAAAAAAAAACTTATAAAATGCAAAACAAAATAAAAATTCTTTGTTTAAAATATTATTTTAGTATTTAATTTATCCAATAAAATTTCAAAAAAATAATATATATATATATATATATATATATATATATATATATATATATTATATATATATATATTAGATATAAGTGAAATATTTTAATAGAATATTAAATTGTAAATAATCAAATCTAATTTTTAGAATGTTAGAATATTCTAGTATAATATTCTAACATTCTAAAAATTCAATTTGAATATTTACAATATCATATCCTATTACAATATTTCACATATATTTAAAAAACATTAATTATCTTTATTATTTTTATTTATTTTTATTTTATTATTTTTTATTTTTACATATCCTATTAGAGTGTTTGTCTTTTCTAAAGCAAAATATCAACAGTCTGCGGACCACATCTACAGACCTCTACATTAGAAGAGATTGACCAAACGTCTGCAGTCCTAATGAAGAAGACTTTTTGATTTTTAACATCTGGAGGCTGCTAGAATAAACTAAATTCTAATTAAACCAATTTTTTTTAAACTTAACTTGTTTTCCAATAATTTTATTACAGATAATTAACAAATGTAGATCGACTTTTATGTATTTTTGTATTAAAAATGAAAATAAAATTGTACGAATTAACGTATATATTTGATGAAAACCAACAAACTTTGGTCGCGAAGATATAAATAAACATTGTAATTAAGGATAAAAGAAATTTACACATAAAATAAATGGAAAGAAACTTTGATTT